ATATACAGCAAATTAGAAGAATGTCTCAACATTTTCCAGTGTGGAAGAACTCTGCAAATGGGAGAGAAGTCTGGTGAGATGTGATGCGTCAAGTGTCCCCATTTCCCCATAATGATGTGATTCTTGCACTTCTATTCACTTAAAGCTGATGCTGCAAGTAAAACTGACACATTTTTACAGAGAAGTCAAAAAGTCTTCAACCTAAATTAGATTGCCAGAGACCTCAGTACAAGTACCAGGAGGACAGGTGGCAGAGTAAGTCAGCTGTCCTTACTGTCAGATTCCTCTTACTGATCGTGGTCTAATAATAGGTCATATGTGGACAGGATGGACTCCCACATATCCACACAGTCCAGATTGTCCCCCTGAGACCCAAAAACATCCAATTCCATATATATTTTAATTAGAAAGGTTGACAGACAACTTGGACTCACATTTGAAAACTGAACTAACTCTTGATCTTTTTTTCTAAAAGGTCACTCATCCTTATCCTCAGTAAACACACAGTGTATACATGATGCTGATTTCAATGATACGACAGTCATCTCTGACGCCTTTCTCTACCTCTAGTCCACCCGTCAATCACATTTACCACTTGATACATGATGTAAATGCATCTGATCCTGCACATGGTTAGTCCCCTAACCCAGCTTTCATGGTCTCTCACCTGGACTATTACAGTAACCTTCTAGACAGTTTCTTCATATTTACTTTGGTGCCTTTCCATTCTCCCAAAATAGCCTTACTGTTTTGGTGCTTTGGTGATTGTTGTCTCAATGTGGAATTGAGGTTTCATAGCGTCAGTTCCATGCTAGAAATCTTTAACTGTCTTTGCACAGACTTTAGGAGGTCATTGATGGTTCACATGGCCTACCTTTGCAGCCTCATCTCTGTTCTCCTGTTGCTCAAGGTTTTCTGTTTGCTCTGCACTCAGTGCCTTCACCCAGACAGTCTGTCCTGCCTGGAATGCTCTTACCCCATGCTTTTCCTGATTAGCTGGTTAATTCCTATTCAAGCTTCCTTCATCCTATAATCAAAGTGGAGATCATTTCTGTTAATGCTCTGTTAATATCATTTTTATACCTTATATTTCTATGCTTATCTCTAAATTTTTAATGACATTATTATGGTGATAATTTGTTTAATATTTACCACATTCATTAAAATGTAAAGTTTTTGAGAACATGAAATATAGTCATGGTCATAAGCTAAGATTTAAAGTTGTTTAAAGTTGGCCAGGGGCCACATTCGATGAAAGAGAGAGAGAGAGAGAGAGAGAGAGAGAGAATGATGTCAAGCTATTCTGATTTTGCTTGGAGACAGTGGAGAATTACTGAAAATTTCTATATAAATTAGTAATGTTTACATTTGGGCTCCGCAAGGTCTTTTTGATTTCTTGGTGGGACATGGATCAGAAAGGCATGAACTAGAGGCAAGAAGATTAGGTAAGTCATTGTTGAAATGATTCAGATGGAACTATCAAAGAACTGAATTATGGCACAGCAATGCCAGAAGAGGAAATATAGCTAATGAAATAGAATAATGTGTCCATCAGTGATATGGTTCCCTGGGAAGCTGATTGTAAGGTAGAGATCAGTGCATTCATTATGTTTTTAATGGGATCAATATCTGAGGGGGAAAAAAGGAAGGAAGATGATTGATCATGGAGAGAAGTCTAGTCATGGTGAAGACCCAATGAAGGAAGGCCCTACTGGAACTGGAATCACCTCTTAGACTTAACCTATAGTTGGGCTATCAGGCCTGATCTTTATAACCCAATATCCATCAGTCACTGGGTGGGGATTGACTCCATGAATGGAGAATGATTTGAACAGATGTTTGTTTTCAGGCAACATCTGAAGGAGGCTGATGCAGCTGGACAGGGAAACCTAGTGCAACATCACCCCAGCCTCCTTTTTGATTGAAGGGTCACTGAGAAATAAAAAATAAAATGAACAGAGAATAATGAATAGAGAGAGGCCTGGGCTAAAGGTAAAAGTTTCCTAAGTTGTAGCCTTGCAAGAAGTAGTGGACACAGGGGCCAGGCATGAGACTCTGTATAGACAGTGTGTGAGTAAGAAGAATACTGATATATATGTGGAACCCTGGAGGAAACAAACATGGTTAAGGGCATTTATTGAAAAAAAAAAGTCTAATAATGAGCAGGTAGAGAAATAATGGACACGCTAATATAATAAAGCAAATAAGACAAATATTGAAGAACTGAATTATGGCAGTGCAATGCAAACCTTTTCTGAGTGTTTGCTTAGGACAGGTACTTTACACACAATCCATAAATTAGATCTTCAGTCTTATTAGGTTATTATTACTATTATTATTATTATTATTATTATTATTAACCTTGTAATTTCACAAGGTTCAAAAACATACTCAAGATGAATGATTAAAACATCAAGTGAAGACTGAATCTCTCCCAAAGTACATGTTCTTTACTGCCCCATAAAAAGACAGGCACTGGTGATCACTTTTACAGAAAGGTCCTATAAGAAAAAAAAATATGGAAGCATTATTTAGAGGCTTGAGTTAGAATGTCCAGGAAATCTGTAGCATTTCTAATAAACTGTTCATGGTGGCAGAGTTCAACGTGTGAAGCAATGAAAAGCGGTGTGAGTAGACCAAAAGATACACAGGGTATATAGCAGCGAGTGCAGACATGGGATTTCAAAATGGATTGCAATTCAGTAGGTTTATTTTATTTTTTAAACAAAATATTTATTCATTCATTTGTTTGTTTGTTTGTTGTGAGGCTGAAGATTGAATCCAGGGTTGCTTTACCAATGAGCTACACCCTCTGTACCCCATCCCACTTTTTTCCTTCTTTTATGAAGTGCTTGGTATCAAACCCAGGGCCTTACACATGCCAGGCAAGAGCTTTACATCTCCAGCTCCTTTACCCTTTTTATTTCTTTTATTTTGAGAGGCTGCCCTCAAACTTGCTATCCTCCTGCCTCAACCTCCCACTGGGATTATAGACATTCACCCCCTATGTCCAGATAAAGTTTTTATTTTCTGAAGAACAATTCAGAAATAGGGAGAGGGCATATGTACAACAAGGGAGGGAAAGACTGGTGGATTCGGGGCAGCAGAAGCGGTAGAAGGGGATGAGAGTCACAGAGAGGCTGGAGAGGAAAGCAAATTCTCCCTCTAAGTGTAAAAGAGAAAAAGTCAAGATGGCTCTGACAATTGACTGGCTGTGAGGAGCAAAGGCTAACACTCCTGAGTTATTACGTTCCTCCGATTGTTCTTATATTCAGGATATACCTCCATAGTCTAAGTAGATATACGCCCTGACTTGTGTTACCAGATATCCTTCCTGGTGGAAAATCAAACAATTGAAAAAGAAGAGCAAACTGGAAACTTCCAGGATAGAGTAAAGATGGGACTAAAAATGAGATGGAACTAGGAAGAGGAACTAGATCGGGGAAGAGCAGCTGGAAATCCTAAGTCAGAGTAAGGTTGGGAAACTCTGGTAGGGCGGGAACAGTGAAGGCTGTGACTCAGAAGCCCAGAACCCAGGGCCAAAGAACCCTGCATCCTGAGCTTCTGTAGGGAGCTTTCTGCAGAAAAGTCATCTGTTTTCTGTGTGATTGCTTTCCTCAGAGAGGGTCTTCCCAAACCATCCATGTTGAATATGGAATGGTCTCCATAATTTTTAATGAGTGGGCTTTCTAAATCTGGGTAGTACTGGACCACCCATTCACTCTTTGACCTGCGACTGAATAAAATGGAGGATATTTGTAATCTGCAATTTCATCCAGGTAAAGAATGTTCCATGTGCTTGTTTTTGAGTAGTTTCTATTCTTAAGACAGATTCCTGTGGGATGTAGAAAAGATAAGCCCATGCTTTCCAGACAAAGCCCCCAATCTCTGGGTGGTGGTAGGTAAGGGGTAGTCAAGGATGCCAACTTCACTCTTGAATTTTGAAATAATCTCAATTGAGTTTTTCCCCCTTTGAGAAGTATTTGAAAAAACCGTAGAAGGGGCAGTGTTAAATTTTGGATTTAGTTCTCTTTGTGCGAAAAGGTTTGGAAAAGGCATCTCTCCCTCCTGGTTCTGAACCAGACTAAACAGATGGGGACAAGTACAGTGGGCTGGAGGGTTTGTCCGTGGGTTGGGTAGCACACAGCTAACTTCAGCCAAGCACCCTCCAGACCTCATGTTCTGCATCTGGCAAATGAGCAGCTGGAGATTTGCAACCTTGAAGACACATTCCAACTCTAAAAAGTCTCTATGATCTGAATTTTAAGTATCATAGTCCATCTAAAATTCTATTTTTGCATCGTTCCCCAAAATAAAATAGACAAATGTGATGTATTTCAAGCTGTCATTAAAGAAACATCTAATGAAAATTTATACTCTAACCATGTTTCTACAGAGAGAGAGGTGTTACTTAACATTAATAGAATAATTGATAGTCAATTCAAACCAATTATGAGGTGTTTTTGTTTCTTTGTTTTTTCTTTCTGGATCTGAAGAACAAATTGCGGGATTTAAATTTCTTGCTTAAGACTCCATCTAAGCATGAATGGTTTCAGTAGAAGACTTGAAACTCTACCTAAGTACTTCTCCCTGTCTAGAAGCCTTTATTAAAGCCAGAGTTGATTAACCATATTAAAGAAAAGTGGCTTAAACTAGAAAAAGCAATAGACAATCTGAAGTCTAAAGAGTTTTTCAATTGCTCCCAGAAGAACTGGTAAGGTTTTAGCATTATCTTCAGTCTGGCTTAACATTTGTACTTATACTTTCCTATCAGAGTGTGTTTTAGACAGGAAATTTTCGGCTCTGTAATTAGCAATTCACACTGGAACCGTTGACATTTAATGACAGCATTGCTAAGACAATAATAATATGAGAAATACTAAAGTTGAATGCAGTATTTCTTGACACACCTCTGGATACCTTCTGATTGGCTGAGACACAATTATATATGAGGAGTGAATAATTCATACAGAAATGAGTATGTGTGTACAGCAGGCATTTACAGCAGGTCCTTCTAGTTAGGTCAAGTTCAGCTGTAGCTGCTGATTTGGAGCCAAATGAAATGGGCAGCAACCCTAAAGAATACCATCAGAGACTGCTCTAGACTCAAAAGAGCTCTCCACGTTCTGCATCTTGGGCATCTTTTTCTGCTGTTCTTGATTGGACCAGTCTCAGAATAAAGACAATGGCATTTTATCCACTGCAAATTGCTGGGCTGGTTCTCGGGTTCCTCGGCATGGTCGGGACTCTTGCCACAACGCTTCTGCCTCAGTGGAGAGTGTCAGCTTTCATTGGCAGCAACATCATTGTCTTTGAGAGGCTCTGGGAAGGGCTCTGGATGAACTGCATCCGACAAGTCAAGGTCAGGCTGCAGTGCAAGTTCTATAATTCCTTGCTGGCTCTCCCACCTGTCTTGGAAGCAGCTCGGGCACTCATGTGTGTGGCTGTTGCTCTCTCTTTGATTGCTCTACTTATTGGCATTTGTGGCATGAAGCAGATCCAATGTACCACTTCTAACGAGAGGGTCAAAGCTTACCTTCTGGGAACTTCAGGAGTCCTCTTTATTCTGACCGGCATCTTCGTTCTGATTCCAGTGTGCTGGACAGCCCATATCATCATCAGGGATTTCTATGACCCAACCGTCCACTTTGGTCAGAAAAGGGAGCTGGGAGCTGCCCTTTTTCTAGGCTGGGCGAGTTCTGCCGTCCTCTTCATTGGCGGGGGTCTGCTCTGTGGATTCTGCTGCTGTAACAGAACAAAAAAATGGAACAGATATCCAGCCCCAGCTTGCGGCACACGACCAACAGATAAGCGAAGGAATGTGAGAGTGCATAGTACGACCTCCACCAGTTATGTCTAATATTTGTTTTTAGCAGCAGCTATGGATTATGATTGATGTGGTTTACAAAGTTCTGACACAACCTGTAAGTATTCCAGGCAGGAGAACTTGCTGTAGGACTATATTGAAATTGAGATGAAGATTTTAATTTTTCACCGGAGGCAGGCATGCAAATGATATATGTAGACATTTTCATCTCCTGTATATTAAGTTTATTTGCTATTATTGGACTCAATCCCCACTCCAATTTGTGTGGTCAAAAATCAAGTATATGTTCAATCATCTATATGCAATGATGGACTACTTTTTTGACTATCATATATTTTCTGATAAGAAGTCTAAAATTGTCATTGATACTTCACAGCAATAAAACATACACATATTTTTAAATATAGCAAAGTTTTCTCAAAGTTATTTCTTATACTTACAGTAAAAGCTAAGTAATGTTATTTTTAAGCAATCATTCTGGAAAAATTGTATTTATCAAATAGTAATTTGGGTTGAATTTACCAAACTATGGAAATGCCTATTCAATACAAAAGAGGTTTTTTATTATTATTCCTATAGGAAACTCACACTAAATTAAACACTTTTAAGGATAAGGGGGCTATGATTTATCTTAAGACATGTAAGAGGATGGAATTCAAAGTTTCTAATGTCTACAGGTAAACCTACTTAGAAATAAACATTCAGAAGAAGATAATTCATAAATGAAAAGTAGTAGTGTCATAGCTTTGATTGCCACCTTCAAGCAAAGAGAAGTATCTCTGGATGAGCCATGTCGGAAGACCAGCACAAATCTCTTCAAGAGGATACACAGCATGATGAATTTAGGGTTAGGTCAAAAGGAATGGTTTCTATGCCTTGATTTACTTGTTAGTCAATGCACAAGCCTAAACATGCAAAGCAAAATAAAGAATCAAAGCAATGATTCAGGCAACTACTCAGGCTTAAATAAACACCTCTTTTTATTCTGTAATAAACAAATAGCCATGGTTAAGGCATCTTGTTTTACTTGAATCATATGCATTATTTACTTAATTCTTCACTCTCCATGTGTATATACTACTAACACCATTAAAAGTGGTTGGGGGTTGGGGCTGGGAACTGGTACACAATATTTATGAAGAAAGATTGCTTTATGAGTTGCTTCTGAATAGCCCCAATATATTGTAAATCAATGTTTATATATTCAATTTAAATTATTCTAATATTATATTTATTTTGTAATAAAACCATTTACAGCACAAAATTACAATAAAACATTAGAATTGTTTATCGAATATTTATTGCATGCTTTTCTTTATAATAAAATAATAAAATAGTTACATATTACAATGATTTGGATACATTTAATTATGAGGTCAATTGGAGAATGAATTTCTGTCCTAAAAAGATCACTTAGTGGGGCTGGGTTGTGGCTCAGTGGTAGAGTGCTCATCTAGCACGTGCGAGGCCCTGGGTTCTATCCTCAGCACCACATAAAAATAAATAAAATAAAGATATTGTGTTCAACTACTTCAAAGAAAG